AACGTCTTCCATTCAAGTAGGCGAAAGTTTTTCCAACGCCCTTCGATTAAATGTGTTGTCACCCAATCCTGTAGCAGTACAAAGTTTCCAAGAAGGTACGGGCGACGACATGAAGATGGGATATTCTCCTCGAGTTGCTCGATGTAGCCACCAGCGCACACCCTCAGTCTGGGGCCCACGAAGAAAATATCGGTTCATCCATTCCAGGTACGGCCGGTCCACACCATCAACCCGCGCCTTGGTGAATGGGGTGAAGATGATGTCCTGACCGTAGCGACGTTGCCGGAGCTGCTCGATGTTTGAGGTCTTGCAGATCAAGAGTACTGGTCTCCAGGTAGCTATCCATGGGTGATTCCATTCAAGAAGTTCCGCAGCTGTTTGGAGGCCACGTGAATTCCAAAGGCGTTCTCCACTCAGGCCGCGACTGGAGATGACTTCATATTTTGGTGTACATGAAGGTGATGGGCAGAAGTAGCGTCCAGCATCTGCTTTATAGAGGAACATCTTGGGTATCCTCCGCCCTGGTACTCGTATCCACGTTCTCTGTCTGGGCTGCGAAAACTTTGCTGATATGTGACTCGGTCGAAATGTCTTTTTTTTGCCCCCCCTATATACTCCACATTTCATCGTTGGAGAGGGCATGTTACGGGCCACTTGTTAACGGTTTTCCAGCTCAAGGCAGTGGCGGCTGAGAAATAGACAGCATGAGTGTGCAAGACTACAGAACTTCAAAAAACGCTGATCCGCACGGTTTCGTGGAATACACCTTCCATGGACTGGTGAAATCCCATAGAAAGCAGCAACAGTCTCGCTTCTGACCCTTTACCACAGAGACATGACATGAGGATCTAGTTTTTGCTCTGATTATCTCTCTGGATAGGGGCCATTAAAGGGGGGGGCCTATCTGTATGGTATGCAATGTTAAGTTACTATTCAGTTTTTCGATTGCTCGGATTCAATAAAAATAAAAGCAGAACTCGAGGGAACAGGCAAACGTCAAGTTAGTTGACAAAGCCGCTAGGGCGCCGCACCGCTAGGTGCGCCGCACCGCTAGGGCAGCACAGGCTCTGTTTGACCGCGCCCAGCCCTTTTAACGCAGATGCACGGTGGCGAGAACTGGGACTTGGGCCATAGCAAAGAGAAAGCTTTCTGTGACTGTGAGACTCCCCAAAGGGGCTGATATCAGTTTCTGGCTTTTCTTCAAAGTTGAAGCTTGTAAGGATGAAGGCGGTAATCATTAATGAGGCAACCTATGTTCACCAGATATTGGTTCGATAAAGCCGTGAATCCACGGTATAGTAATTATGGCGTAGGACGCAGATTTGGAAGGTATTACGAGTAATTATCCTTTGTCGAAGCTATTACTGATTGGCACTAGGCCTCCTGCAAGAAGTGGGAATAGTTCCTCCGAGAGTGCGGCTCAGGAAAGTTGCGGGTGGCACAGCGAACGCCGCGTCATGACTGCGCGTTACATGCGCAATACAACTCACGTACTGAAGACTATATATAATCATTACAGTGCGCATACAGTTAATATACTACGCATTCGTAACTGACTGTCTATGGCTCAATTGTGCGCGCTGACCTGGCTTCTTATGTAGATCGTGCCTTGCCCGCATCTCGCTGTCTTAGTCCGCCACACTCTGAGTCCATATGGAGACGGCTGGTCGCCACAAACACCTCCTCGCCATCTCTCCATCAAAACTGGCTGCTACAGAATAGGCGTCATAAAGTGTTAAAGCGCAGTCATAGTGAATATTTTTTTTACTTTATTGTGACCAGTATGGTTTGTGGACATTTGAAAACGTTTTAAGTGCAAATGAAATTCGTAAAACTGAAGGCAAATTAATTTCCGTAAAAGTACCTGAGCTTCGTTGAAGAGATTCGTATTACATGGACCTCTCGTCTACAGACACGACTGAGCCAAACTGAACATGGAAAGTAGAAGGAAAAAAAGTAAACGTAGGAAATGTCAGAAAAAAGATGTTTTCATAAATTTAAAATGTCAAGAACACATTTAACCACTTAGAGCAACTGAAATGCAGACGTACACAACATGAAATTACCGCAATTTAAATGGGAAAAAGGGCACGTATTGAAAAAATTCTATTGTTTTCATCATGGAAGGTATCCCAAAGATTTGAACTTCTAGGCTCTGTAATTACTTGAAGGTTGAATGTGTTCTGCGCCAAGAACTCGCTGTAATTGGACTCTAATGCCCCTATAGGGAGGTTAATTCGTTAAATATGACCGTCAGTACTTTTAACTGTTAGGCACCTCTTTTACCAACCTCACACCTGATATAAAGGTTGTCGCTAATCAGTAATTAAGCGAGCTGATTAGCGGAAATCTTTAGCACTGTTGTTTGTAACGCACAGTAGAGCATGAACGATAACATTCACTCCCTTTCCTCCGTTCCCACCAATTCTCTGATTTTCCGTGATGTCTCCGGCAGTACATCACTCCCTTTCCCTTTTCTTTTTCATTTGATGTCGCACAAAGCACTACTAACTCAACATATGATTCTTGGTTGTACACAACCTCATCGGTTCTTCGGGAGCAGTATACTACTATGCATGTGCCGTTTCCCTCGTTTTATGTTTTAACTGGAAGCACACACCTCGACGCCACACATTTCGATGGGATGAACTTCGGCTCAACTCCGCTTCCTGCTCTTAACGCGCCGGCTTCATTGTCATATCCACCATCAGCACACAACTCGCTCATTTCATTGCACATACCTCCATTCCAGGTTCCCAGCAATCTTCAGATTCCCTTTTAGCACCAGCAGAAACACAACCACGGGAATACATGGGCGAACGACAGGTAAGCAAATATGGAAAACGAGATGTAATAATTTACAGGATTGTAGGCACCAGTCATTCGTTCACTTTTTATTACATGTATGGGACCTACGAGGTTTACGAAGCGGAAGAATATTGTAGAAAAATGTCTAGATTTA